CTTTTTGATTGAAGGTGCTAATGTGGTATGTCATCATAGTTAAGAGTTTTAGAATTAGACAGACCTGAGTTCAAATACTTAACTTTGCTACTTAATAGCAGTATGACCTTGAGTGTGTTGTTTAATATCTCTGTACCTCAGTTTTCCTCATCTGTTTGTTTCTGTGTAAAGTCCCTGAGTTAATTTCTATAAACTACTTCTAAAGCCCTTGGCACACAGTAAGTGCTCAGTAATGGTTATGTTAGTTATTATTAATGCTATTACTACTTCTTCCACAAAAATTATCACACATTAATCTTTGAGTATCTCATTGCGGTCCACAGCACATCATTTTTCTTTTTTTTTTTCTTTTTAAGAATGGAGTTGATATTTACTGAAATTGACATATTTTTTTGTGGGGACAATGTTTGGGGGCAAAAAGCTCAGTTTTGAATGTTAAATTTAAAATCTGTTTAGACATTCAAGTGAAGATGTCAGGCAGCTGGAGAGAGGAATCTGATGCAGAGGCGAAAGGTGTAAGCTGCAGATGTAAATTTGGAAATTATCACTAAAGAGAAGATACTGAAAACTTTCAAACAAGAGGTTAACAGTTTACTACTGATCTCTGTAAATGACTTTTTTTTTTTTTGGAAAGAAAGAAAAAAGGAGTGAAAGGAATAAAGAGGAAGAAAAAGAGGGAGAGAGAATGGGAATGTAGCTTTATTCTAAAGATGGGTATTAATAATGGCCAATCAATATTTTGTGTATTTAAGGTGGAGAATGTATATTTTGTGTATTTAAAGTGGAGAGCTCTATAAGTATTTATTGAGTTTACTTGTTCCAGATCTGAGTTCAAGTCCTGGATATCCTTATTAATTTTCTGTCTCGTTGAGTCTAAATCTCTTTATGGGTCTTATGTATCTGGGTGTTAGGATCGTTAGCTCTTATTGTTGCATTGATCTGTTTACCACTATATCTTTGTTGCTTTGAAATCTATTGTATCAGATGCAAGAATTGCAACTCCTGCTTCTTATTTATTTATTTATTTATTTTTGCTCTCCATTTGGTTGGTAAATCTTTCTCCATCCCTTTGTTTTGAGTCTTTGTGTATCTTTGGACGCGAAATGCGTCTGGATGTAGCATACCGTTAGGTTTTGGCTATATCTTTTGATTGGGGGATTTAGTCAACTTAAATTTAGGGTTACTGCCATTTGATGTTAACTGGCTATTTTATCCATTCATTGATGTAAATTCTTCTTTATGTTGATGCTCTTTACTGTTTGGTATATTTTTAGAAAGACTAATACTGGTTGTTCCTTTCGATGTATAATGCTTCTTTCAGAAGCTCTTGTAAAACAGGCCTGGTGGTAATAAAATCTCTGAGTACTTGCTTGTTCATAAAGATTTTATTTTTCCTTCAATTGTGAAGCTTAGTTTGGCAGGATATGAAATTCTGGGTTGAAAACTTTCAAGTTCTCTTCTTTAAGGATGTTGAATATCTTTAAGGATGTTGAATATCGGCCCCCACTCTTCTGGCTTGTAGGGTTTCTGCTGAGAGATCTGCTGTAAGTCTAATAGGCTTCCCTTTGTGGGTAACCTGACCTTTCTCTCTGGCTGCCCTTAGTATTTTCTCCTTCGTTTCAACCCTGGTGAATCTAACGATTATGTGCCTTGGGGTTGCTCTTCTTGAGGAATATCTTTGTGGTGTTTCTCTGTATTACCTGGGGTTGAATATTGTCCTGCTTTGCTAGATTGGGAAACTCTTCCTGAATAACATCCTGAAGAGTATTTTCCAGCTTGGATTCATTCTCTCCGTCGCATTCAGGTACACCTATCAAACGTAAATTAGGTCTTTTCACATAGTCCCATATTTCTTGGAGACTTTGCTCATTCCTTTTTATCCTTTTTTCTCTATTCTTGTCTTCTCGTTTTATTTCCTTAAGTAGGTCTTCGACCTGATATCCTTTCTTCTGCTTGATCAATTCAGCTATTCAAACTCGTGCATATTTCGCTAAGTTCTCGTGTTGTGTTCTTCAACTCTGTTAGTTCATTTATATTCCTCTCTATATTGTCTATTCTTGTTAGCATTTTGTCAAACCTTTTTTCAAAGTTCTTAGTTTCTTTACGTTGGGTTAGAACAAGTTCTTTTAACTCCCAGAAGTTTCTTATCATCCACCTTCTGAAGCCTACTTCTGTTAATGGCACACTGTCCTTTTCCATCAGGGCTTGTTCCATTGCTGATGAGGAACTGTAATCCCCTGTAGAGGGAGAGGGGTTCTGATTTTGGGTATTCTCAGCCTTTTTAGGCTGGTTTCTTCCCTTTGTTATAAATGTCTCCATCTGTCTTCTTTACGATTACCGCCTTTCTAGTTGGGTTTCTGAGTGGACGTCCAGGATCCAGGATGGCTGATCGCTAACAGCTCGGTATTGTAGCTCCCAGTGAAAGCACAGAGAACAAGAGGACGCCACACTTTCAGACGAATTTTTGTTGCTCAAGGCCCAGAAGATTCCCAGTGGAGGAGCCCCATGGGTCGCCAGTGCAACTCTTGTGGCCGGCGCTGCGGTTTTGCTGGTGCCTTGGCGCAGCAGCTCTTGGTGCAGAGTAAACGAGAGGAGATTCCTGGGCAGAAGAGCACCATCAGTCTTAACGCCGCTGTTTTGGCCAGCGCAGCGGGTTGCTCAGATTTTAGCGCTGGGAATCAATAAACTGGACGTCCAGAGCACATCATTTTTCTATGCCACAGTGCATGAGGAATCAAATTTGATAGAATACCCCTTAATCATTGAGCTAGATTCATTGAAAAATACAAATAATTTAATATTCTCTAGTTGTACTATTTAACCTAGCTTTTGTTCTTTTTAATAATATTTAAGCAAGTGAATTTTAATTTTATTTGTGTTAATTTTAGATCCAGTTATAAAATTCATTTTAGCTTTGGAATAAGAATTATCACCCTCCCCCCATGTCTATAGCAATACCACCCTGAATACAACACATCTTGTGTGATCTTGGAAGCTAGACAGGGTCAGACCTGGTTAGTACCTGAATTAGAGGAGTAGCTCCCAGAGCTGCTTTGTGTGTAGTGACTTAGCAGTTGGTCACTGCTTTCCATTTTTTTGTTTTGGCATCATTTGCTGAAAAAAAGACTTATTAAATGCAGTGTTGTTTATTAGATGGTAGGAAATGCTAAGTTCTTATGTACTTCCCCTGGACTCAACATAATAACATAACCCAGTTCTCTGACATCTTTCACTACTAAAATGCATTTTTGAACCATTATTTCACCTTTCATAATTTTCAAGACCAATAATGTTTGTAAGAAATATCAAAAATTATGTTGCCACCTTAATTTTTAAACATCTTCTGGAATCGTAGGGCAGATGTCGGGACTATGGATTCACTGGCACCTTTGATGAATGGTGTCTCAAGTGGAAAAGTATAAGAGTGCTCAGATGGAATTGCACCTAGCATTTTCATCTTGTAGTAACAAATCAAAGGGAGACACTGTAAGGACTTAGTACCGGAGGCCTAATTTTATATTTGAAAGTTGAAGAAAAATGGAAATTATAGGATAAACTTTAGCCCAAAGGACAGAAATACTTGAGATGAGTCAAGTATGATAAGGAAGTGCTTACATATGCTTGATCATGGGTTATAAAAAAGGAACTCTCACATTCTGCTTGTTGATCTTCTTTCCCTTTCCAAAATGCAGTCACAAATTTGACTTTTTAGAGCTGACAAATGGCCTAGGTGAAATGTTTCACAGAAAACAGAGCAAAATTTAGAGCAGTATTGTATTATTTCTTTGTTAAATTGAATTTTTTTGGCATGTTTAATTGGTTCATCTCTAGCCAGTAGATCAAGTATAAAACTTTAGAAATGTACTGGTAACCCTATCAAACATAACAGGTTAGGAATAGTGGTAACAGGGAGAAATAAAAACATTACAAAGTTAAAATGGTTGATGACAGCAGGATTCTGGGTTAGTACAGTAAAGGTACATGAATATGGGGAATAACCAAAGATATGTTGGTAATCCTCAGATGGACTGATTTCATAGAAGGCATTATTCGTGCAGAAGTCCCATTTACCTGAGTTCAAGAGAGAACAGGAGGAGAGTTAAGTATTGATAACTCTTGAGGATCTTTGTTATAGGGAGAGTAATGAGGTAATAGCTAGAGAGAGATTTTGGGTTAAGGAGAAGAGTTTTTTTTTTTTAATTTTTGTTTTTTGGATTTTTGTTAACCGTGGGAAATATTCTAACATGTTTGCCCATAGATGATGTGGTTCATTAAAATGGAAAAGTTAATCAGGTAGGGAGATTGGGGGCAGTTTCTGCAGCATTGACTTTAGGTTGGCAAGAAGAAATGGGAGCCACTGTATAAATTCAGGGGTTGTCTTTGGAGAAGAATATGAACAGTGTATCCATGGTAACAGGTGGGAGGGTATTCATATGGAAATGAATATAGATAGGTTATTGATACAATACTGAGAGAAGTTCATTTAGTTTTCTTCTGATTGCTTCAGTTTTCCAGTGAATTTTCCAGTTCTTTAACTTAGAGTATCTGAGGGAGGGGAGAGGAAATGGAAAATGCAAAAGCAAAGAGAGCTCCAGGAGACCATATATTTCAAGAAGAACACATGGCCTGCTTGTGTATGTACATTACCTACTTGGCCCTTGAATTTGTTATTGGAATCCCTATTTTATTTTATGTCTTTTGGAAAGTTACTTCTCTCTTATTTCTCAGTGCCTTTTTGGTAGGGGGAAATTAAAAAATACCTGTTTCTTTGAGTCAGGTTAGTTGTCTATTTTGTCCGGATAAAAAGCTAATTAAACAACAAAGTATTTTTTGAGAATTTCCTGTGTCCATATATAGCTAATCACTCTGTTGTATTTATTGTTACTAATTAGAGTGTCAAAATTAAAGAAGAGGACTATTGGTATTGATATTCTGGATTTCACTTTGGGATTCTTTTTCAGTTTTTAAAAAACATCAAACATTTTTTCTTCTTCTTTTAGATATTCTTAATAGTTGCTCCTCTTTCTGTCCTCTACAACTGGAAGGATGAATTGGACACCTGGGGATATTTCAGAGTCACTGTTTTACATGGAAACAGAAAAGATAATGAACTAATTCGTGTAAAGCAGAGGAAATGTGAAATTGCTCTAACAACTTATGAAACATTGCGCTTATGCCTGGATGAACTTAACAGGTAATGAGAATAATAGGAATGATTGTATTAATTTTCTGCTTCCATCCCTTTATATTATTATTTATTGTTACTTTTTGAGACATAGTCTTGCTCTCTCTAGGCTGGAGTGCAGTGGCGAGATCTTTGTTCACTGCAGCCTCCACCTCCCAGGTTCAGGCAATTCTCATGCCTCAGCCTCCCGAGTAGCTGGGACTACAGGCGCACATCATGACGCCTGGCTAACTTTTTGAGTTTTTAGTAGAGATCGAGTTTCACCATTTTGCCCAGGCTGGTGTCAAACTCCTGAGCTTAGGCAGTCCGCCCACCTTAGCCTCCCAAAGTGCTAGGATTACAGGTGTGAGCCACCATGCCCAGCCTATACTGTGGTTTTTAAAAAAGCTCTCATTATTCCTTTGCTTGAGTTAATTTCCTTTTAGAATTATTGAAATACGTAGTTCATAATAGCTTATTCTTTGAGAAGGAAAAACCTGCACTAGGTATTCTAGAATTTCTTACTCTATTTCTTACACTGAATACAGGATACCTCTTCAAACAATGATTGTTAAAGAATAAGACTTGTCCTAAATCTCATGTACAGCCTTTTATGCAGATGGTGCCTCTGAACTAGGTCAGTGATTTTCATGAATTATTTCAATTATGAGAGTCTGTTTTGAATGTAGAATGGCAAAAAATACACACACACACATGCACAGAACCACTGTAGCGTAGAGTGTAAGAGAGAAGTGGCCAAGAGGCAACAGCAGGGAATAGATTATAGAGAGTATTGGAAGATACTTTGAGGATTTTGATCTTTATCCTGAGAGCAGCAGAGTGCCCCTTACAGTGTTGTCACCAGATTACCGACAGGATAAAAAATGATCAGATTTGTACTTTGTTAAGTACCCTAGCTGCTGTGTTTGCAGATAAAGGAGAGCCAAGCTGAATGGAGAAAGACCAGTTAAGAGGCTTGTTGTGTGCTGAATTGTGTCACTTCACCTCAACTCCCCTTCCACAATTTGTATGTTTAGATCTCAGCCCCAGTACCTCAGAACCTAACTGTGTTTAGAGACAGGTCTCTTTGATTAAGTTTTAAAGAGGTGATTGAAACCGAGGGTGATTACGTGGGGCCTGGGTCCAGTATGACTGGTATCCTTATATGAAGAGAAAGGGACACCAAGGACACACCATACATTACAAAGGAAAGGATTTGTGAGGACACAGCAAGAAGGCAGTCATCTTGCAAGCCGAGGGGAGAGGCCTCAGGAGAAACCAAATTTGCCAACACCTTGCTCTTGAAATTCTAGCTTCCAGGATTGTGAGGAAATAAAATTTGGTTGTTTTAAGCCATCCAATCTGTGCTATTTTATTTTGGTAGCCCTAGGAAACCAATGCCAGGCTTTTATAGTAGTCTGGTCAAGGCACCATGGTAGTGAGGTCTGAACTCTTCATAGTTGTTCCAGCAGCAGGCTGGGCCTTGGTAAAATCATTAACTTTGATCTGCTTGTATCCTAATTTCTCTCTACAGGGATATAATTTATACCTTTTAGGTGAAGATTAAAATGTGGCATTAGAAACAGTTATCTAATAAGTCTTTAAAATGTTCAGATGTTATAGTTATATTCAATTTGAACTATTGCTAATGAAGGAATTAATGATATTCCCCCAAAGTCAACTGAAGCTTAGAAAACCAGGTTATTTTTTAAGGTGATACTTTCACATCAGCATTAAAATGATGTGGCATAGGATAAAAATGAAGAACACCAGTTGATAGTTGTCTCATATTTTATAAGCACAAAATAAAGAGTAAAAAAAGTTACCCATTAGCTATGTGGCTTTGGGTAAATTGGCTCATCTGGAAAATGACAGAGGATAAATTAAATCTGTCTTTGTGAAAACCAGCTCCTCAAGCCCAGCTGGAAAGTTTTATTAAAATCAACTTTAGTGAGATTTTATTCATATACAATAATTACACCATTTTAAGTATACAGTTTGATGAATCTCAGGGATTGGTGTACTTTTTCTGTAAAGGGCCAGATAATGAATATCTTAGGCTTTTGGGCCACATACAGCCTTGGCTGCATATTCTTCTTTTTTATGACACTTTAAAATGTAAAAACTACTCTTAGCTTGCTTACCATACAAAAATGGCCATGCGCTGGATTTGGCCATGAGCAGTAGTAATACTGAATCCTAGTTTTGACAGATGAGTGTAACCACTATCCCAAACAAGGTACAAACTATTTTTATCATCTCAGAGCTTTTACTTCTTTACAGTAGCCTTTCCCCAGCCTTCACCTTGGGCAACTACTGATTTTGATTGCTGTCACTAGAGACGAGTTTAAGCTGTTATGGAGCATGTTCTGTGTGTGGCATATTTTGTTTAGCATGTTTTTTGAGATTTATTCACATTGTGGAGTATATCAGTGATTGTTCTTTCTTAATGTTGCATTGTATTTCATTTTGTCAGTATGCACATTTTGTTACCCATCCATCTGAGGATAGATTTGGGGGTTTTTTCAGTTTTTGATTATTATAGACACAACTTCAAGGGATATTTGTGTGTAAGCCTCTTTTGGACGTATGTTTTCATTTCTCTTGGAGTAGAATTTCTGGATCGTATGGTTAACTATAGGTTTAGCTTTAGAAGAAATTGCCAAACCATTTTCCACAGTGGTTTTACTCTAGCTAGCATTGTGTGAGAGTTCAGTGCTTCATATTCTCAGCAATATTTGGTATTGTCAGTCTTTTTGCTTAGCTGTTTTAGTAGGTGTATAGTAGATCCAAGATCCAAGGTGGCTGATCGCTAACAGCTGAGGATTGTAGCTCCCAGTGAAAGTGCAGAGAACGAGAGGACTCCACACTTTCAGACGAATTTTCGTCGCTCACAGACCAGAAGATTCCCAGTGGAGGAGCCCCTTGGGTTGCCAGTGCGACTCTTGTGGCCGGTGCAGCGCTTTTGCCAGCGCCTCGGTGTGTCAGCTCTTTGTGCAGAGTAAACGGGAGGAGATTCCTGGGCAGAAGAGCACCATCAGTCTTAACGCCACTGTTTTGGCTGGCGCAGTGGGTTGCTCAGATTCCAGTGCTGGGAATCAGTAAACTGGACATCCACTCAGAAACCCAACAGAAAGGCTGTAATCGTAAAGACGACAGATGGAGACATTTATAACAGAGGAAAGAAACCAGCCTAAAAAGGCTGAGAATACCCAAAATCAGAACCCCTCTCTCTCTACAGGGTATTACAGTTTCTCATCAGCAATGGAACAAGCCCTGATGGAAAAGGACAGTGTGCCATTAACAGAAGTAGGCTTCAGAAGGTGGATGTCTTAATAAGAAACTTCTGGGAGTTAAAAGAACTTGTTCTAACCCAACGTAAAGAAACTAAGAACTTTGAAAAAAGGTTTGACAAAATGCTAACAAGAATAGACAATATAGAGAGGAATATAAATGAACTAACAGAGTTGAAGAACACAACACGAGAACTTAGCGAAATATGCACGAGTTTGAATAGCTGAATTGATCAAGCAGAAGAAAGGATATCAGGTCGAAGACCTACTTAATGAAATAAAACGAGAAGACAAGAATAGAGAAAAAAGGATAAAAAGGAATGAGCAAAGTCTCCAAGAAATATGGGACTATGTGAAAAGACCTAATTTACGTTTGATAGGTGTACCTGAATGCGACGGAGAGAATGAATCCAAGCTGGAAAATACTCTTCAGGATGTTATTCAGGAAGAGTTTCCCAATCTAGCAAAGCAGGACAATATTCAACCCCAGGTAATACAGAGAAACACCACAAAGATATTCCTCAAGAAGAGCAACCCCAAGGCACATAATCGTTAGATTCACCAGGGTTGAAACGAAGGAGAAAATACTAAGGGCAGCCAGAGAGAAAGGTCAGGTTACCCACAAAGGGAAGCCTATTAGACTTACAGCAGATCTCTCAGCAGAAACCCTACAAGCCAGAAGAGTGGGGGCCGATATTCAACATCCTTAAAGATATTCAACATCCTTAAAGAAGAGAACTTGAAAGTTTTCAACCCAGAATTTCATATCCTGCCAAACTAAGCTTCACAATTGAAGGAAAAATAAAATCTTTTATGAACAAGCAAGTACTCAGAGATTTTATTACCACCAGGCCTGTTTTACAAGAGCTTCTGAAAGAAGCATTATACATCGAAAGGAACAACCAGTATTAGTCTTTCTAAAAATATACCAAACAGTAAAGAGCATCAACATAAAGAAGAATTTACATCAATGAATGGATAAAATAGCCAGTTAACATCAAATGGCAGTAACCCTAAATTTAAGTTGACTAAATCCCCCAATCAAAAGATATAGCCAAAACCTAACGGTATGCTACATCCAGACGCATTTCGCGTCCAAAGATACACAAAGACTCAAAACAAAGGGATGGAGAAAGATTTACCAACCAAATGGAGAGCAAAAATAAATAAATAAATAAATAAGAAGCAGGAGTTGCAATTCTTGCATCTGATACAATAGATTTCAAAGCAACAAAGATATAGTGGTAAACAGATCAATGCAACAATAAGAGCTAACGATCCTAACACCCAGATACATAAGACCCATAAAGAGATTTAGACTCAACGAGACAGAAAATTAATAAGGATATCCAGGACTTGAACTCAGATCTGGAACAAGTAAACTCAATAAATACTTATAGAGCTCTCCACTTTAAATACACAAAATATACATTCTCCACCTTAAATACACAAAATATTGATTGGCCATTATTAATACCCATCTTTAGAATAAAGCTACATTCCCATTCTCTCTCCCTCTTTTTCTTCCTCTCCTTCACTCCTTTTTTTTTTCTTTCCAAAAAAAAAAAAAAAAGTAGGTGTGTAGTAGTATCTTGTAATTTGCATTTTTGTGATCCATGCACTTGGAAAAAATGTTTTTTCTGCAGTTATTGGGTGTAGTGTTCTATAAATGTCAGTAAGATTAGATTGGTTAAGGTCTTGTTCACATGTTTTCTGTCTTTGTTGATTTTCTTTTAG